TGTTGTAAGCAGATGGAGAACATCAAATGATTACTTTGATTGTCAACACATTAACTCATTTCAAACACTAAATGCGTGGAATATAATGTTTCCTGTAGACTGTATCAAATATGCAACAATTACTGGACATCAAATTCAAGCACACGTGTCGATGGAGCGGCAGGGAAGTAATGAAAACCCGGCTGGATTCAAGCTGAAAAATATAAACACTCGGCAGCAGAACATGTTTATGTAAAATTAAAATACAAGTAACACATGGGAAGGGAGGGTGGGATTTTAATAAGCGATGCTACTACGTCAAATTTTAAACTTTAAATGCACAGCCTTCGCAACGTACGCACGAAAAAATCGTGCTTGGTAAACTTACGAAAACCAGTTTTATCGGAGAGAATGCTTTACCGTTTCACATGGATGAGTTTTTGGGCACATAGACATATGCACCCGTCAAAAATTAAAAGGGATTTATTTTTCAAAAGAAGATAAATCTACTTATTTACAACTACCATAAATACTTGATAAGTACTTTCTGTCATTAATGTTTTTTATATTAATTACTAGAACCAGACTGGCGCCAAATAGCATTCATTAATTATTTGGTCTACATATATATAGGTGATAGCCTATCTTATATATTTTTATCTTTACAAGTTTATGTTATGGTGTTTTACAGATGTATTAATTTGTAATGCATGACCTCACTTATTTTTATGTATTACCAATATAACCCGTAACGTTTTTCTCTACATAACACATGACAAATTTGCTCCTTGTTATAATAAGCTTTTCTTTGGCGGTTTAACGGGAACAGGGATATTATGGGTCATACCGCACCAAACACTATAATAAGAAGGCCTTAAATGAGTTGGTACAAGCGAGTTTGTTAAATCTTAGATTATAACTTTAATTCCTTCATTAATTGATCAGGGTTTAAAATGGCACTGAGGCAAATTGTTCTCTAAGTGAATTGACTCAATTTAATCTATCACAGAAGTATGCAAGATTATGGGATTGAATAAGGAGAATTTTGACATTAAAATATTAATTGTAAGGTCTACAATATAGCGCATCGTCTCCTGTTAAAAGGTAAGAATGTGTAAATTTAGTACATTGTATGTCCAATTTTACATCTTAGATCATGACAATTCAGGAGAAACAGAGATGGTCATTTATCAAAACAAATGGTTAATATAATGAAGTTTGTTAAATACAGGGTTGTCCTATTGTTATGTCACATTTAGATTGAATAATTTGAGGGTTTAAAATTACTGTTTGGTAACAATAAATGTTCTGGTTGAGCATTTAAGAATACTTCCACCAAAGTAGTAACATTTTTCCTTTCCTCGTATTCCTACGTGGCCTTGAATCCAACATATTTTGACTGACTTAGTTTTTGAAATATCTTGAAATCGCAAAACAATTATCTTAATCTGAATCATTATATTTTGATTTTAAATGAAAATTACGGGAGAGTGAATCTGAGAACATTACAAATTTATTTCCATTATGTTGTGAAATGTATGATACTGCAAGATCAATACTTTCCACTCCATTAGTAAAAATAGATGCATTATCAGGCAGTCTTATTCTAGACGTAAAAACATACTTTCAAAGATACTACTTTGCAACCGTCCTTTGAGCCGTTCATGTTGAGTGTCCAAGGAAAAACAGATGCTCGCTTAATGATATTTTCCTTAGTTTCATAAAATTTTCTATTACATAACAACTCTTAACAGAACAAATTTATTAATAAGGGCAAAAGTGTAAGGTCTATGTTTCGTTAAGAAGCGTACTTTCGTAAGGAAGCATAAGAAAAGAACAAACGCCAAGCAAGTGCAAATTACTTTCTGTTCAGGCTCTCTTTTGCTTAAATAAAGTTATTTTGAATCAACATATTATACATTCACAGAAAGAAATATAATTTTGGTACTAATATACAGAAACGAACACTATTTAAAGCCTCCCTTTGGGTTCTGTAGGAAATACAATAAACAGAAACAATTTTATAAACTATTTATTAAAAACGATGGCAACAATGCACAATAAATCTCTGCTAATCATTTTTATCACTTAAAATACACAATAATTATACTTATTGTCCAACAACATTGACCTGGCACTCTTGCATTTGACCCTGTAGTCGGTATTTTCCGTAAACGTTACGATTTACTTGTAAATCGATATGAATGTAAATATCCAATTGTTAAAATGGTGTAAATGAAAATTCCCTCTTAGCGCAGTTGGTAAAGAGTTTTCAGTTGTAGACGTAGACTGGTAGGTTCGAATCCTATTTCAGCGCTTTATTTTTTATTTTAATTTTGAAATTGCCATTCTCTTTAAACTATTGAAAACCTTTTTATTGTTTGTACTATCTATGTAGAATTTTTAATAACTGCTTTTAAAGCATGTATGCGCTTAAGCATATACGATTGCATAATGTCACAAAAAGAACCGTTGAAAGATACTGTAATGAAATGAAATCAAAAATAAAAGACATAATTGTGCTTAAAAACACCACTTAAAAGGTATTCTAAAACCAGGTGTTATAAAACGATTTCAAATTAATTCTTGCAATTAAATTTAAAAAAAATCATAACGTGGTGTTGGTTCGGTATCGAACCAAAGACCTTCAGATCGGTAGTTCGACATCTATACCAATACACCAAACCTCACTGACGAGGGAAGTTAGCAAAAATATCGATATATTCGATAGGTAATAGTCAATGTTTATTCATATGACCTTTCCGAAAATTAATGAAGTGCCAGGTCAATATTGCTGGACAATACCTGGAGTGAACAAAAAAATAATATTTATTATCTGGATTACAAACTAACGTTAATTAATAATTAATGCAACGTTTTCGAAATTCCCAATGGAAATTATGCCATGGCATGTTCTTATCGCAAATTGCTAGTTTCGAGATACTAAGGTTTATAAATGATTTTGAAAAGATTTATAAATGCCCTTTGAACTTCAACACAAAGAACTGTTTTATACGGTAACACGCACTTTTTAAAGATAATAATTAACATGAAGTCAAAGAGAGAACTTTTCACATTTTAAAAAATAAATACATGTATGTATATATAAAATTAAAACACATTTAACTTTACATATTTGATACGTACACATGCATATAAAGGCGACTCTAAAAAACAACATACAGGGCAAGGAAGAGCTGCTGAAACATGTCAAGCAAATTATTAAGCAACCATATTTTTGTGAAGAAAAACTGATGTGTATTATTCCACATGTATTAATGTCATTACAGATATGTGTCGTTTTACGAGGAAATTCAATTTTTTTCATTTTCATTAAGTAAATTTTGCATTATATTAAGCGTACTAAGGAATATATTAAAAACTTAAGTATATGCAAATTATAGAAATATTATATATGTCTTCTGATTCATTAATGAAATCACAACCACTATCATAACAATTCCGTGTAAAGTCATACTATGAAAATCACATACAAAAAAAAACAGTTCCTTAAATTCGATATAACTTCTGATTCATAAAACAAATCAAAACCACTATAATGATAATTAACAGAGACAAATCTAAAATATAACCCAATTCAAATATGATTTTTATTTCACTCGTTAAACTTACCAGTCATAAATATACATGTAGGATTTACTTCCCTTTGTTTACAATCGGACTCGCAGAGGCGCATGCGTAAACTAAAAAGCAAGCGTCCATAGGACCGGTAAAAGCATGCGCCCCTCAGTTTTACTTTTAGCGTGAAAACAATCGGACGTTTCACTTATGCTCGCTTGTTACAGCGATATAGTTTCTTTTGTTGGACTTTTATTTTTTTGTTTTTTGTGTATTATGGCTGAAGCAGCGGTTCGGGCCGCTAGTGATAAGGATGACAGTTTTATTGATACCGAAAAAAGTGACAAATCTTCGACTTCGGTGAAATCGGTTCATTCGAAATCGAACACTAAACCACGTGCTTCGTCTAGTGGTCCAAAATGCAGTGTCAAGGATTTGGATAAAAGAGTTTCGGATATGGAACGTAAGTTTGACTCTGGTTTTGAAAAACTTTTTCAGTCTTTAGAAGTTTTAAAATCTACGTCACAGTATACAGAGGGTTCAGCCCTGCTGAGAACTGTTGATAATATGGGACAGCACACAGTGGGTTCAGCCCAGCTGGGAGCTGTTGATGAGGGTAGTAGCACTTTGGCTCACAGACCTCGTAGATGTATGAACATTAATGATGATGCTGTTACAGATGATATTTTGTCCTTGCATCCTAGAGATCAAGAGAGGCTTGACAGTTTTGGTCTTTGTGATGATGTTGCCTCAATTCATTCATCTATTTCTGACAGTTCAGCACCTCGTAATGATGCTTTTCAGGGGTATTTAAATCCAGAAACTCCTATTATGTTACAAGAGTTATTTGGCTCAGATAGTTCACAACATGATGGTGCTTCTAATGGTTTAATTTTAGATGATTTACAAGTGTCTATACTTAATAAATCATGGAGAGCGCAAAATCCGGAGCGTATTTCGGCTTATAAAGAAGAATATAAATTTTGCTTTCCTGTGCACGAGAAAAGTGTAGAATTTCTAGGGGTTCCTGGATTGGATGAATTATTGGAACCTATGCTACAAAAACGACATGGTGCAAAAATGACAAAAGCATGGGGTAAAAGCAGACAATTGTGCACTCAACAATTAAAGTCAATTGAAACACTTAATTACCAAGGACAATTAGCGTCTAGGTTGAACATTATTGCTATTTCTTATATTCAAAAGAGTTTAGGTAGCTTATTGTCTACTCTTAAGGAAAAAGAACCAAATATGGACAAAGCAGTTCAAACTGTAAGAGATATTTTTGAAATGTCGTCAAAAGCCTTGGATCAAGCTGGAAGATCACGGGCGTTTCATCATCTTTCCCGTAGGAAGGCCGCAGTATCAGATTCGGGTTTAAATACATTGAAAGACATTCAGTCAAAAGTTATGTATTTCCTCTTACGGCAGATGGTGTTTGGTTCGGGTCTGCAGTCTAAATTAAAAAATAGGAAAGAACAAAAAGACCAGTTAACAGACTTAGTTCCAGAATTTTTTGAAAGGCAGAAAAGGAAACCTGAGACTTCATATGAAAGGTCAAAATTTAAGAAGGCTAAAGTACAGCATAACACTGGAGGGCAAAGACAGTCTTTTCCATACAATGTATCTAACTGTAGGACTTTTCCATTAAGTGGAAATAAAGAAAATAGACAGAAAGATTTCAAGTCTCAAAGTGTGAAACCTAGAAGCACTGGTGCTATACCTACTTTTCGTATCCCAAAGAAACAATGACCAGGTAAGAAAAATTCTTTGTCTAGAACCCAGATACCTGTTGGGGGTCGTCTCAGATTTTTTGTGTCAATGTGGGAAAAGATAACCACAGATCAATGGGTAATTTCAGTAATCAGAGAAGGTTACAAACTAGAATTCGAGAAAATTCCTGCATTTATGGGTGTTCGACATACTGTCGTTCCCCAAAAAGATATTCCTATAATTTGAAAAGAAATTTCTTCTTTAATAGAAAAAGATGCTGTAGAAATGGTTCCATTAAATCAACAAAATCAAGGTTTCTACAGTACGTTATTTCTTGTCCCCAAGAAAAATGGGGAGTTAAGACCTGTTATAAATCTGAGACCTCTGAACAGGTATCTGGTCAAGAAACATTTCAAAATGGACACATTATCGAAAATAATAAATCTAGTAAAGCCAAACGATTGGGCATTTTCAATAGATCTCAGCGACGCATACATGCATATCCCAATTTTCCCAAAACATCGCAAGTATCTAAGGTTTGCATTTCAAGGGAAATGCTATCAGTGGAAAGTAATGTGTTTCGGCCCTACTGTAGCACCAAGAGTGTTTACGAAAATTGTGTCAGTAGTTGCAGCTCACTTAAGAACACAAAACATACGTCTAGCAGTATACCTAGACGACTGGTTATGTTTAAATCAAATACATCAGCATTTACTCAAAGATCAGTATGTTTGCCTCAATCTCCTCATAAAACTAGGATTTTTGGTGAATCTAGAAAAGTCAAATTTGATACCTCAACAGATAATAACATACATTGGGGCAGTATTCAATCTGAAATTGGGTCTTATTCTTCCAACAGAAGAAGGTTTTGAAATTCAGAATTGCCATCTTGGACTTAGTCAATGGCAAGAACAAAGCTCAAAATTTCCTTCATTTATTAGGTCTCATGGCTTCTTGCTTGGAACTTATTCCAAATGCTCGACTTTTCATGAGACCTATTCAATTACATCTGCTCAGTTTTTGGAAACCTTCAAGTCATTCATTGGACATGATCATTCCATTTACTCAACATCTTCAATCACATCTAAGATGGTGGTTAAATCCAGCCAACATTTTCAAGGGTCGCTCATTACATCAGACTTTATCAGAAGTAATAATAACCACCGATGCCTCCAAGAATGTATGGAGGGCATCTAGGGAACCAATATTTTCAGGGAAATGGTCATTAGATCATATCAATTGGCACATAAATTCTCTAGAAATGGAAGTTGTCTTTTAAACAGTAAGCCATTTTCTAAGTCAGATTCAGGGGAAATCAGTGTTCATCATAACAGACAATGCAAGTGTTGAACAATACATTAAGAAACAAAGGGAAACAAAGTCAAGCAAACTTTGCATTCAGACTTGGAAATTATGGACATTAGCTATTCAAAACAACATTTCATTGAGGGCAGTTCACATAGTCGGAACACAGAACATTTTAGCAGATCAATTGAGCAGACACAAAATAAGGGCAACAGAATGGTCCCTGAATCCATTTGTTGTTCAGAAAATTTTTCAATTATGGAGAACTCCTCTAATAGACCTATTTGCATCAGTAGACAATCATCAGACTCCAATTTTTTGCTCCTGGTTTCCGACCAATCGAGCGTTTGCGATAGATGCTCTGAGTATTTCATGGGAGAACATGTATGCGTATGCTTATCCGCCTCTATGCCTGATACCGAGAATACTGACATATATACAGCAGTTCCATTGTCAAATTATACTCATAGCTCCTCAGTGGCAAAGGAGACATTGGTATCCGGAAATTCTGAACTTGTTAGTAGCATGTCCCCTAAGACTACCTGTAATTCCAGATCTACTAGTTCAACCAAAAACTCTGATAAAACATCCGAATCCGGAAATTTTTCATTTAACAGCTTGGCTGTTATCGACAGACAATACGAAAAGACTGGATTTTCTGAAAACACTAGAAAATTGCTCAAAGCAGCCTGGAGATCAGGTACTCAAAGGGACTATGGTAGCAAGTTCAGAGTATTCAATAGCTGGTGTCGTACAAGGAAAGTTGATCCCTATTCTTCATCTCTGATTAATATATCACAATTTCTAACAGACATGTTTCATAAAGGTTTACAGTATAGAACAATAAGTGGTTACAGGTCTATGTTATCAGCTATTCATTCCCCTATTGATGGTCATAAAGTAGGTCAACACCCTTATATAATTCAACTGCTTAAGGGAGTTTTTAATTCTAGACCGCCTACAGTCAGATTGATTCCTGAATGGGATTTGCTGAAAGTGTTAAAGGCTTTACAAAAAGCACCTTTTGAACCTTTACATAAAGCTCCGTTGAAGGTTTTAACATACAAAACTGTATTTTTATTTGCAATAACTACTTTCAGGAGATGTAGTGACTTGCAGTCTCTGAAGTTAGGAGAAGGTTCAGTAAATATTCAACAGAAAGGTGTCACCTTTATTCGTCATGGTTTAGCTAAACAGGACAGACCATCACATTTCGGAGCAACTATTTTCATACCATCTTTTTCAGAAAATAAGAAATTGGATCCTAAAAGGTGTTTATTTTATTATTTGAAAGCAACTGAAAAATATAGAAAGTCTGGGACTGGTGAAGATGAAACAAAACTATTCCTTGGGTTAAATGAGCCACATAAACCAGTTAGTTCTCAAACGTTATCAAACTGGATTGTTCAGACATTAAAGTTAACACTTCAAGATAATAAGGTTAAAGTTAAAGCTCATAGTACCAGAGCTATTGGTCCATCTTTTGCATTGTTCAAGGGTGCATCAATTGAATCAATTTTAGCTTCAGCAGACTGGAGTAGAGAGACTACTTTTACACGTTTTTATCTAAGAAATGTAAATAGTACTTCAACAGTGTTGAAAACTTGAAATAAGTTTTTTGAACTAAAATTAAATTTTAACTTTTAGCGAGTCGCTATATCAACTTATTGAGGGATTTTTCATATTTTATGGCACTCGATAAGTGCATTGGTATATACATATATACATATATTGTGTACATTAGTGAAGATAGTGTTCTGAGAATATAGTGGACATAGTGTTATACAAGTGGAAACAGTATTGACAGTGTTGTTCTGTACATTTATACAAGAGGAAACATATATTCTGTACATAGTGGAGAATAAAGAATGGACTTTTTCATGTACATATTGGGAACAGATACATATTTGTTGCATAAAGATTTTTGTCAGTAGATATTACCCTGCACCACCATCAGAGGTGAGTATTGCTTTGAAATCAATCCTACATGTATATTTATGACTGGTAAGTTTAACGAGTGAAATAAAATTGAAAAATTTGTAATCAAGTTAAAATTTTATGAATAAGTTAAACTTACCAGTCATACTAGTTTCCCACCACCACCCCTTGGTAATATTCGGATGGTGTAATTGTTTTCACTTAATCAGTAAAACTGAGGGGCGCATGCTTTTACCGGTCCTATGGACGCTTGCTTTTTAGTTTACGCATGCGCCTCGGCGAGTCCGATTGTAAACAAAGGGAAGTAAATCCTACATGTATATTTATGACTGGTAAGTTTAACTTATTCATAAAATTTTAACTTGATTACAAATTTTTCAATTTTTGTCCCTGAAGCAACATTAAATATTTATTCTATTGCAGAATTACATTAAATATTTATGAAATCAATATTCGCACCTGGTAATAGCGAACAATAAACAAAACATGGGAACAATTGATTAACACTTAATCTGCTGAATTTATAAATGAACATGTTTAGCTTCCGTTTTTCGAGTTGTCTATCATTAAAAGGAGCTGTTTATTATTAAAGATCCTGTAACTCATTTTTTTATTGTTTTAAGTCATAAATATGATGATAAAATGAAAATTTATCAAAATTGTAAGTTTCAAAAAGCATTATTAATTTTGTAAAGATATTACTGAATTTACATTTCATGTAAATAAAGGGAGATAATTAGAAATTTATTTTGTACAAAGTCTTATCCAAATTTTTCAATAAGAAATAAATACGTATATTTTAATGATTACATATAATGCATATAAACATTTGCAGTACATATTTAAAATATTCTTGAATTATATACATACATAAAATTTCATTTAAGTGTTGTTAAATCCTAAATTACAACAAACAGGATCTTTAAAGATACCAATATGAAAATATAAAGTGCAACAGCCAACAGAATAAAGCTTTTCAGATTTTAAGGATGAACAGGCTTACTTGGCGCTATACTCGTAGCAAAGGCTAATCGCTTTCGAGTCTAGAAGGCTACGGGTAAAGCTAAATTCAAAACTGGAAAGTATAATCTCACAAGCAATTTTTGTTGTAGATTTATCATTTTTCTCAAGTGATACCATTTATTCTTATCAGTAAACATTATTTATCGACCAATACATAAATATATTTTAGTTAAGCAATTGCACATTAAAAAATCACAGTCTTGAAATTATATCACAGCATATGTACTGCATTGTTCGATTGATTTTAACATGTTTATCCCAGAAATAGTATAAATACATATATTCATAGAAATAATTTCTTACCAATATGTAATTTGTATTTTAATTTCACTATAATAATATATCTATGAAATTACGTCTTTAATATTGTTATATGTATTACGTAACCTTATTTCATAACGAAGACACTATTTTACTTGGAAAGATACAAAGAAATTGATTCTAACCCATATCTTTAATATTTTCTCTTGCATCGCCGTCTTATAGCTATACGACTATCTAATTATCTCGAATAGATGTATGTTTTATTAAGAAAAATCGAAATAGTTGGGCTTTGGAAAAAATAGACACATCAATTATACACTATCTAGAACTATCATATTTTATCGTAGACTACGATGTAAGCCTATACGTCAAACTAAGGGAGTGATTATTAATTTACATAAAACCAGTCATTTTTTGCAAAACCTGATCATATATATCAAACACGGGGGAACTTCATTTTTTTCAAAATTATGGAACCAGTTATTACTGGAATATATTAAATTTCTTCCCAGGTAGGGTTTAGGATCAATTCCAGTCTGGTTCACCTTTACAAGCACTATAGAAAATCACTTATCAAAACGTTTTGGTTAGGAAATGCCCAATCACTGTTAAGTTGTTTGTGTATTTACATCTCAGCCAATGTACAAACAACAGTTTATTTTCATTATGTATATGATTTCCCTAAAAATATTTTTCTATGTCAGAAACAATAAATAAAAAAAAAATAATTTGAATCAACCTAAAATATTAAGAGAACTCAGTCTAAATATTGTTGTAAAGATTTAAATCCGCATTGTAGTTAAGATGCATACACATAACATGTGTGCTAAGTTATTTGAAATTCTACCTACTAATGATAGAGTTAAGACCCAGACAAGCATGGTACGGACGCAAGTACATACACCGAACCCAATTTTGCAACAATGTTGAGCTCTCCGCATACGAGCTCGACAAATATGGTTAAAAAAAATAATATGCAAATACTCTTTACTTGTTTATTACAACTTCTATAATCTAGAAATTTTTTTAAAGTATAATGTATTTTTACATTAGTAGATTTTTTTATATTTCAACAGCGTGTTTTCCAAACTTCTTATTTATTTTATTTTTGAGTTCTAAAGAATTTAATGTACACTTGGTGTTAAATATGAAATATATACTATAGTCTGTCCCACCAAATTTGAATATTCCATTTTTTTTTATTAAATATAATAGTAAAATCATTTAAATTAATGTCATGTTAATCCTGACGTCAATATTTCTAGGCATGTTTTTTATTTTTTCCTTAAAAAAAAAAACAGTAATATGGTCAAAATGTTAAAATTATATTTTCCCGCGTTGACTTACGTTGTAACCGTGACGTGACGTCCATTTCAAAATGGCCGGCGCCCATACAGACGTCATTTAGGGTTCGTCTCACAATTAGCGTGAAATGTACTCGGTTATTATAAAAAAATGATTAAAGTTTTATTTACTTACTGATCAATAGCTAAATGTTATCATTAAAATGAAAAATGAGAACAAAGTTGGTGTCAAAAAGGCAATATTTACTAGCAAAACCATTATTTAAAATAATCAATTTAAAATCATTTGAAGTTAAATATCAGTAACCGCTTTATAAATTATAACACACAAAGATTTATTTAATTATATAGTATCATGTTATAAAATTTATATAATTACCATGATATACTGTCGTATTTTATAAATTTCTTTTAAGAGAAAAAGAGGCAATATTATGAAGTGATTTAAATTAATTTGCCCTTTTTTTAAAAAAACGCGTTTAAATTGAAAAACGCCCAAAGCGTCCCTAAGGGGAAAAGAAACACTGGGTTGAAAACAAAAAAAAGGTTCCTTTGAAATGTTTTAAATTTTCAAAAAATTCTGTAGTTGTTTTGAAATTTTGTCCAAAATTAGTTGTATCACGTTTTATTTAAAAAAAAAATTAAAATTAAAACCCTTTTTGATGGATTTCAAAAAAAATTTTACCTTTATTCTTATTTCGGGTGCGAGTTGTGCCTAAAATTTTCGTAGGTTTTTAAATTTTCCCAAAAGAACCCCAAAGTTTGAAACGCCAACAAAAATTACATTATTAAACAAAAATTACAAGAAATAAATTTGAAAAAGGGGGGGCCCATTTATATTGGGTTTAAATATTGGTTTTGCAACAGTGTCTTCTTTAACAGCTCATTCGCTAATGAAGGAAACACGGACGGACTCGCGTGCGAGGAAAAATGTAAATTATAAGAATATAAACATGCTTTCTAGTTTGAGCAACCAAACGTTGGCCTATACACTTTAAGCTCGTAATACAGATTAATTTCCCGTATCATAATTTAACAAAATGTCCAGAAATATCGGCAGTGATTTGATATTATTAAGAATTAGATTGAATTGTAGCGTTCAATAAGGGACAATAAGTTGCTGGTGGGTTTTTTTGTAGACTCAGTGTTACATACTATGTTAATATTAAGGAGAGATCGAGTCAAAGAGAAACACAGAGTGATGTCCTCAATAATTTAAGCCTTCCTAAAATTTGAAAATATTCAGTGAAAAAACAATAGCTAATTTTTCGCGGGAGAAAAAAATACCGCATATGGTAAATTTGTAGCTAAAAGAGTAGGACTTACAGAACTCTTGAATAACGAGATCATGTGTAGGGAATTTTTTTCGGAGAAATATATAAAATAGTTTAAAAACATAAAATCAAAACGAAGGTTATATGTGAATTAATGGAAGAAGTATGTACTGTCATAGATTCATGAATGTCATTTAGTGTTTTTAAAATTCTTTAAATGTTATCAAAAGTTTTATTGCTAATATATGAATTGAAGGTGAACTTTTAACAATTACTGCAAGATCTGGGCATACAAAAATTATTTTAAATGCCGTCAAGACAAATTTATCTCGCTTAAAATTATCTGTATGAGGTTACATATGCCTAACCGCCCTCTGTCAATGCCGCAACTGGAATCATCCCGTCATATATTTCGTAAATTGTTGTTGACGTAATATTGTTTTTTTTTTCGTCAGGAATCCATTTTCAAGAGTTATAAACAGTGTGCTGTCGAAATAAAATTGATGGCCGTTCTTGAATTATGGATTTGGAACATACTGAATTATGATGTGTTTCATTTACATATTTCATTTGCTAACCCAGATAACTGCAACAAATGGAACCTGGATCATCAAAAAAAAAAAAAAAAAAAAAAAAAAAAAAAAAAAAAAAAAAAAAAAAAAACAAAAAAAAAAAAAAAAAAAAAAAAAAAAAAAAAAAACAAAAAAAAAAAAAAAAAAAAAAAAAAAAAAAATAAGTGTAGGAAAATCATGCCCCACTTTCAGAGTTTGCAAAAGTTTAAAAAAATGGGATCTACGGAACTAGATAGAAACTTGGCAATGAAGTAATCTTTCAGAATGCGAATTTGTCGTGACGTTTATAAAGATCTAATTTCGAAATTTCATAGGGATTCTATTCTGCTTTTGAAGTCAAGTGCAATTTCTAGATCTACTCCATGTGACTCGATGTTCTTGTTGCTAATATTCATTTTTGTAAAGTTTTCTATCATGCATTGCAACGAAACTGTTACATCTTGTAGATCCAGCACTTTGTAAAATAAATCATTGAAACGACCCCGAGAACATCATATAATTTTAAAAACATGATACGTTGCTTTTTCTCCCGTTTATCTTCAAACGAAGAGTACTTCGCAATGGCTACGGGGAAATAAAACAACAGAGACCTTGCCGTAGAGAAATGAAACTTTGCTTTATCAAGAAAATTAGATACTTTAGACAAAAATCATGAAAAATCTCGAGGGTGACTTTTTTTAGTTTACAAAAAAGTTTTAATTTTTATTCAACGTCGTTTTGTTAATTCATACCAGGCAAAAGTTCATTTCCATTTTTAATGGGACAGACTATAAATAGAATTCAAATACATTATTCTTTCTTGGACTAATATAAAATAATGATGATTAAGCATATGCGAAATGGGTATTTTATATCACCTCAAGTCCATCGAA